TATACTGGAAGGATTATTTATAATGGCATAATAGCGGGGCAAGGAACACCCAGTAAAAGAGGCTTGAGGCTTCCCCGACAGCAGGGGCACGGAGCTGTTCCTAGACGTGGTCCAAGAGGAAGAGAGGACAAAGGGTCTGAATGGGAAATTTCTAAATAGATGGGCTCCAAGAGGGGGGTGCAGACAGCTTACAGGAAGGAGGCTCAGAAGAACCAGGAAAACGACATCAGGAACACGCTCGCCTCCCTGTCACCGTCTCTTTCCCGTCATACAGTCACCTGCAAGGTTAGGGAGCCTGGTTAGGGTACTCACAGAGATCCCCACGCTAGAGCTGAGTAGCTGGTGGAGGGTGATCCCAGGAGCAGGTGGAAACTGGCCAAGAAGGCTGAAGGTTGTCAATGTCCTGGGCAGTTTCTGTTTAAGCATCAAAACCGTATGTGCGCTCAGGGCTGCAGTGGGGGTGGGGTGTCGCAGGGTAGAGGCTTACCTTGTGGGCTGGAGGCCTCGGTCCCATCCCCCGCACCAAAGTGGAAAAAGGGTGATGTTTGAGTGAGGGAAACTGTATAATTAGGTCAGTGGTTTGGACTGTTGACTGGAAGGCCTGGAAAGAGCAGTAAAAATCTTGTTCTTTCACAGAGTTAAAACAAGACCCGGGCAAGCCGGTCTTGTTTTAAAAGAGTGTGCCACAAGATGCAGTGGCACACTCTTTTAATCTCAGCACTCACTTGGGAGGCTGATCCCTGTGAGTTTGCAGCCAGCCGGGTCTCTGTAGTGAGTTCCAGGATAGTTAGGACTCCACAGTGAAATCTTGTCTCATAAAACAAACACAAAACAAAACAAACCACCAAAAACAAAAGACCCAGGGAAGTCAGGGCCACCCGTACCTTCTCTGAAGCGATTCTTGGGACCCTGTAATGCATTTCTGCAAAAAGCATGTTAGCCAGTGAAAGCAAAAATCTGGAGGGTGGTGGGGTGGCAAAAAGACCCTGGGTCAGTTCTGAGTTGACCTTGGGTTCTCCTGCCTACATGGCAAGCACAGGTCCCCCTCTCCCTGGCCAGAATGTATTTTAACAGTGTAGTTGCAGGCTCCCAGGAGGTCCCACTGGGACCCACTGGCATCTGGTTTTCAGCAAGTCTGAGGGTGTAGGGTCATCAATCTAGTAAGCTAACTATGCCTTCTTCAATCCCCTTTAATTTCTAATTTGCTAATTCAACCTTTTTATAGACAGAGTGTAAACAGTGAACTCCGAATTCTGGGTTGGCGAAGATGAAGTGGCTGTAATGAAGCCTCTCGTTTCTAACCGCATCTATAAAATGGGAGTAAGAATAGCAGCCGCTTTACTGCGGTAATCCAATCAAGTGCTTAGCCCAATAAATGTTACTTTTATTAGCGCCGTATATCTCGGAATGTGTCACCTTCGTGCGTTTCTGTGCATCTTTAATCCAGCAAATTAACTTCTTCACCAACAAATAAATTGTCCGCCCCTGGTTAGTTAGCTCTCTTAGGGATAAGGTAAATAAATGTGCTGAAATATTTAGTGTTTATGGATTTTTTTTAAAAAAAAATTAAAGTATTTTTATTAGGATTTATTTGAGAGGGCCATTAATATAGAAAAGTTTAAGTGGCATATATTTTTTTTAAGATTAAAAAAAGTAGGTGTTGCCCCCACCCCCCGAAAAATCAGAGCTTGCAAACTTGATAGCAATGCATCCGTGAGGTCCACTGAAAAATCCTTCGGCACCTGATGGCCTGAGGTCTCTGCGCCACCAAGTTTTCCTCCTTTCTTCAGTTTTGAGGATCCAGAGGGATGCCTGACCTCTCGTGGCCTTGGTTTTCCAGAGTAGCCACACGCTGGCTTTTCCTGATGCCTGGGCTGCACTAGTTGGTTTTGAGGTTGCTTACATAAAAGACCGGACACAGACAGCGTAAGGGAGAGCCGGTTTATGTTAGCTCCCAGGAAGCTGTGGCGGGGACTCCCGGCAGACCTCGGTGGGAGCATGTGATGGTGGGTTAGGAAGCAGAAAGGACAGGCCAGAACTAGGGGCAGGGACAGCCTTCTGAGACCCACTCTAGTGATCCGCTTCCGTCCAGAAGGCCCACCTCCTGGAGATCCCACGGCCTCCAGGGCATGGCCACAAGCTGGTGAGGGTATGGCGGAGCACAGGGCCGTGGTGCATCCAGCCCCAGCGTGAGCAGAGTCGGCTCTGGGATGCTCTCCGTCACTTCCCAGGCCGAGACTTAGGCCTCCAGGGCTGACATCAGATTCTAGAGAGTTAACAGGCCCAGAGGAGTGGTGGGAAGAGCAGAGAGCCTCTCCTGGCCCCAACTCTTCAGTTTCTGTGGGGACAGCGGGAGGAAGAGGCTTGAGTGGCCAAGGATCTGCCTCAGGGCTGTTTACCGCTCTTCCCTTGCCTCAGCTCTGTATGGGTGCGCCTGGAGGTGGAGGGGAACCACCTGGCGATGGGAGTTACCTGTGCGGTGCGAAAGGGAAAATGTGATGCCTTTTGAAACCTTGCTGAGAGACCAGGAGTTCCTTAACAGTCACATCTCGACTGCATTTAAAGGTTAAAGCCGTGGGGAAATTCACTCCTCATGTTTTGAGAAATCCAACTTGTTTGCTAGAGAAGGAGACATCCTTTCTCCAGACATCATCCTAGAATGCTTCGTCTATGATGCTGTCGGAGGGAAGGAAGAATCCTGAAGTGCCTAAGTACATCAAATGAAAAGGCGTGCCAACAGCTTTTTCTTTCCCACTATTTCATCCTTAATGTGACTTTAAAGGAGAAAAATCTCCCTTCAAATTGTTCTGGCCTCAGTTCTGCGGTATGTCTCTGTGGATGGGAAAGTGTGTGTGTGTGTGTGTGTGTGTGTGTGTGTGTGTGTGTGTGTTCATGTTTGCATAGATGTGAAGGTCAGAGGTTAATGTCGGGCAACTTCCTATACTGCCCTCCACTTTGTTTATTTC